CATACATTGGCTCTTGTGGACTTGTTTTAATTTTCTTCACCTTTAAATCAATATGTAGTGGTAGGTTTTTGTAGTAATTTGCAATTTCTTAACGATATGATGTTAAGCATTTTTTTATTGTAGTTTAAGTGAAAATTTACATTTCAAGTTAATCTCTCATACAAAAATTTATGCATACGTTGTTATGTGACCCTAACTGCTGTCCCGGTACTGTGAAAGCACACTCCTCCTTTCCACCCCTGATTTCCCGTGTCCATTCGTCCAGCTCCTAACCCTCTCTACCCTCTCATCTCACCTCCAGACAGAAGCTGCCCATTTAGTCTCTTGCATCTACTTGAGCTAAAAAGCACACTTTTCACGCGTATCATTTTATGTCCCACAGTCCAGTCCAATCTTTGTCTAAAGAGTTGGCCTCGGGAATTGTTTTAGTTCTGGGTTGACAGAGTCCGGGGCTGTGCTTTCTGGGGTTTCTCCAGTCTCAGACAATTAAGTCTGGTCTTTTTACTAGAATTTGAATTCTGCACCCCACTTTTCTCCTGCTCCATCAGGGACTCTCTGTTACGTTCCCATTAGGGCGGTCATTGGTGGTAGCCAGGCACCATCTATTTTTCTGGTCTCATGCTGATGAAGTCTCTGGTTTATGTGGCCCTTTCTGTCTCTTGGCCTAATACTTTCCTTTTGTCTTTGGTGTTCTTCATTCTCCTTTACTACAGGTGGTTGGGACCAGTTGATGCATCTTAGATGGCCGCTTGCTAGCTTTTAAGACCCCAGGCGCCACTCACCAAAGTAGAATTTTTAAGCATGTTTTCACATGCCTATTTGTCACCTATTCAGATCTTTTGCTCCTTTTCTATTTGGGTTTTTTGGTTTTGTCATTGTTGAGTTTTAAGAGTTCTTTCTATATTTTGGATAAAAATCCCAGGAGAAAAACCAAACCCATTGCTGTCAAGTCAATTCCAACTAATGGTAACCCCACGTATTACAGGAAAGAGCTGTTCCATAGGATTTACTTGGCTGTAATCTTTATGGAAGCAGATCACCAGCTCTTTATTTCATGGTGCCGCTGGGTGGGTTTGAATCCTAAACCTTTATATTAGCGTCTGAGCACAAACCATTTGCCCTACCCAGGGACCTTCTATTTTGCATATCAATCCTTTATTACATACGTGTTTGGAAAAAGTTTTCTCTTAGCTTTTCACTTGTTTTTTTATTTTCTTGACTGTGTCTTTTCCAGAGCAGAAGTTTTTCATTTTTTAAAATCTTTATTTTTGCTTTATTTTTAAGCATATAGGTAACAAAATATTTGCAAAAGTTTTTAATTTTAACGAAGTCCAATTTACCCATTTATTTACCGTCATGGATCGCTCTTTTAGTGTTGTATCTAAAAAATCATCACGAAACCCATGGTCACTTAGGTTTTCTTCTATGTTTTTTCTTGGAGTTTTATAGTTTTGCATTGACATTTAGGTTTTTATGCCGTGTTGTATCATTGTTTGTAAAAGGTGTAAGAACTTTGTGTAAATATCTTTTTTTGCTCATGGATGTCTAGGTGTTTCAGCACCATTTATTGAAAAGGCTTTCCTTTCTCCATTGATTTTCCTTTGGTTTACTCAAAGCTCAGATGATTATATTTGTGTCTATTTCAGTGCTCTCTTTTCTGTTCCATTAATCTGTTTGTTTTTTGGCCATTACCACACTGTGTTGATTACTGTAGCTTCAGAGTTAGTCTTGAGGTGGTGCAGTGTCAGTCTTCCAACTTTTTTCTTCTGTATTGTGTTGGCTGTTATGAGCCTTTGTTCTTTCCATGTAAATGTTAGAAAAAGTTTATCAACAGTCATAAAATGACTTGCTGGAATTTTGGTTGGGATTGCATTGAATGTATAGATCACTTTGGGAAGAATTGACATCTTAACAATATTGAGTTTTCCCATTCACGAACTTGGAATAGCTCTCCTTTCATTTAAACCTTTGAATTCTTTCATCAGAGTTTCGTAGTTTTCTTCGTATATATATTTTGCATATTTTGTTAGATTTATACTGTTTCATTTTTGTTGTTACCAGCGTAAATGCTGTTATGTTTTTAATTTGAAATTGCAAGTGTTGTTTATTGGCATATAGAAAAGCATTTGGGTTTTGTATATTAACCTTTTATCTTGCAACTTTGGTATGATCAATTATTTTGTGAGTGGTTTTCTTGATTCTTAGGGATTTTCTATATAGATAGTCGTTTCATCAGTAAACAAACAGCTTATTTCATCCTTAACAGTCTGTATACTTTTCTTTCCTTTTCTTGTTTTATTGCCTTGCCTGGAGGACATGCACCAGACCCAGATGTGTATGTGGATGGACATAGCTTGAACGACTGTTATGCGCACCTGACAGTGTATATGTGTGTGTGTGTGTGTATGTATATATTGTGTGTATGTATATATTTAAATTTCCTATTTAGAGTCAATTTACAATCTATGGACACCTTGATATTTCTATATTCACTGCTGTATCTGCTTTGCCAACATAAAGCAGGCTCTGCGTCAGTATTACCTAAATTTTAATAAATGAAGGTAACTACAGTTAAGAGTCTGAAGGGAAGAAGTTTTGTGTGTGACAGAGGACTTTGCCAAGAGAAGTAGCTCCTGGTTTTCTCAAATTGTATAGGATATTTCCTTTTTCTCCTCTTCCTAGTATGGAGCAGGACTCTAGATTATCCATGGTGTTATTGGAAAATAATAGCCAAAATAACGTCAAGATTATATGCATACAAACAGAAATGGAATTGTCAGGAATTTAGGTGTCAAAAAGACAAATTGACCTGCATTGTGATCCTGGATCATCAATATTCCATGTGGTTGACATTGAGCATGTGATTAATTGATTGTTTCTAACTTTACTCAGGTATTAACTGTTTAAAATAATATGTGCTTAGGAGAATCATGGGATATAAGTAAGCTAGTGTGTTGAAAACTGCGAAACTTTTCACAAATCATAGGTAATACTTGGAACATTTTATCATTATTGTATAATTAACATGAGAGTTTTGATGACTTTAAAACATGTAACCTGGCCCACTTCAGTGGAGCAGATTTTTGGAGTTTGGCTCTAGCTCGAAGTTTGTCGTGACCCCATCATACTAGGACTGATTAGAGAGGACATAGACAGCTCATTTCACCACTTCCCTGACAAGAGGAATCTTCTTACTCTAAAGTTGCTCTGTTTTAGCACCCAAAGTGTCTTTTAGCAGTCTTTTCTTTCCTCACAACAAAAAGAAGCCAATGAATTAGTGCTAACTTACAGAGGTCACTGTTACAGACAAGGGTATTCCAGTGGTCATAGTTCAGGTAGTCATGGTTGTGTGCCTTCCAGGGGCTGCAAATGTGAGAGAATTTTGGAGTGGAGCCTCTAGAGGACTGGTGTGTAAGTCTATGATTCCTAGGGTTTACAGACCATTTAACCATTAAACTGGCTGCACTTCATCTTAAAAAATTAACTTTTTTTGTGGTAAAAATTAATATAAAAAATTTGCCAGCACAACAGTGTTTATTTGTATAACTTGGTGACATTGATTACGTTCATCATGTCGTGCAGTGATTACAAACTTGGAACGAAACCTTTGTTAGCAAACAGAAGGACATGCTGTTGTTTCTGGAGAGATGGTGCTCTATGTCATAACATTAGACTGTGTGAGGGTGTATGGGTTTATGTTTATTGATGGGAACAGTCACTAATGATGTACAGTTGCATGCGTTCTCGAAATTTGAGAATTGTGGGGACATCTGGATTTTCATGTTCCCTGTGTTACCTAGATCTTTTAACCTTTTATTACCTTTATCTGTCTTTATGCAAGGAACAGAGAGGATGACAGAACGCTAAGTTTTTGAAAAATGCGTGACTGACATGAAAAAATCCGTAATTCTCCAAAAGAATATTCTGTTCTCAGCAGGTGTACCTGTCACCTCCTGAATTACTAGAGTTATTCAAGAAAATACGACCAGCTCAGGCCTTGCTGCCAGTTTGTGTGGGTCCTTGGTCCTCCCATGACTGTGAGGGGTAAAAGAAAAAAGAGCCATTCTGAACTGTTTCCCAGTTATTAATACTCATTCTGCCTTCATCCTGTGTTTTCTTTTGTTAAGTGTTCTGGTGGGTCTTGTGGAAGGAAGCCGTCTCAGTTATCTAGTGCTACTATAACAGAAATACCGCAAGTAGACGGCTTTAACAAAGAGAAATTTATTTGTTCACAGTCAAGTAAGCTAAAAGTCCAAATTCAGGGCATCAGTTCCAGGGAAAAGCTTTCTCTCTGTCGGCCTTCAAATCAATCTTCCCCCAGACTAGGAGCTTCTCTGCGCAGGGACTCGGGGTCCAAAGGACACGCTCTCCTCCCAGCTCTGCTTTCTTAGTGGTGTGAGGTCCCCCTGTCTCTCTCTTCCCTTTTTTTATATCTCTGAGAGATTACTTCAAGGTATAATTCAATCCTGTAGATTGAGTCTTGCCTCACTGACATAACTGCCACTCATCCTCCCTCATTAACATCACAGTGGCAGTATTTACAACATAGAGAAAAATCATACAGTACCAGGAATCATGGCCCAGCCAGATTGATACATTTTTTGGGGGAGATAATTCAAACCATGATAGAGGTGTAATTGTTCCCAAGGAAGTGATGATCTGGATGAGACCATTTCGCTAAATTGTGCTAGGTTTTCTAACTGTTCTGGAACAAAAATCAAGAGGAATAAGATGCACTTGATCTCAATAAAACTATGGAGAAATCATTTCAGTGTGTTGGAAGTCTGTGAGACAGGATGTAATCAGTGAGGAAGTGAATGTAGTTAGTGAAGGGAGGAGGCTGATGGCCATACTCTAGAGTAGACCTTGGTAGACCACAGAACTTTGTGTCAAGTCCCTATGAATACTGAGTTCCCCAGGACTCTCAGCCTTACCCTTCATTCCTGTACACACTGGAGTATGTCGTGCCTTGCTGATCCAGAATGTGTGGGATGTTTTAGGACTCATTAGTCGTTGAGGATGTGGCTGTGGTCTTTAGCCAGGAAGAGTGGGCTTTGCTGAATCTTCCTCAGAGGAAACTCTACAGAGATGTGATGATGGAAACCTTCAGAAACCTGGCCTCAGTAGGTAAGAACAGCATCTTTTTTTTTTTTAGTGAACAGAAGTATTTTACTCATGGACTTTTCTCCAGTATTTGGGCTGAGGAATGGGAATAAATTGTTAAATAAAACAGTCACGGTCCTTTGGTGTTTAAGGAGCTTACAAAATTTGGTTTCCCCATGAACATAAAGCTCTGTGTATTAAAGTTAATTTTCATTTTTCTTCTGATTTAGGAGCCCTGTTGGCATGGTGATTAAGGGTTAAGCTGCTAACCAATAAAAAGGTCGGCAGTTTGAATCCACCAGCCACTCCTTGGAAACCCTATGGGACAGTTCTACTCTGTCCTGTAGGATTGTTATGAGTCAGAATCAACTTGAGAGAAATAAGTTTGTTTTGTTTTTCCCTTTATGTTTAAAACCCTTGGCTCTTTAAGTGTTGTAAGTAAAACATTGGCTTCAAGGGTCATTCTGGGGCACTGAGAGATTTGTGATTTAAGAGCTTGTAGAGAGTTTGTGTTTATTACAAATTTTACATGATTTTTTGCTATAAATATACTCAAACCTGTTCATTTTCAGAGACTCTAAAGAACAAAATAGTGGCACAGTTTTGAGGAAATGTTCATTTATCTTCACTGTTTTCCCTCATGATAGGCATTTCTCCATAAGCACTGTGTCAGCTATAAACGTTTTCCCAGAGAAGCAAGGGGAAGATCTGAGGATAGTGGAGCTAATTCTCATCCAGGATCAGTGTGTCGGGAAGCACTAGGAAAGCCAGAATTTTTGAAGGACTGGTCCTGCATGCAGGGGATTACATTTCAATTAACTAGTAAAAAGTTTCTTTTGGGTTGAGGACACAATTTCCCAGATACCTGAGCTTCCTTTTCTGACTTTAGCAATCCTCTCACATCTGCAGTCATGGAGACTTCTCTGCTTTTAGTATTACATGTGTATTGTGCCCAGTGTCTTTCTGTTAGCTCTCCTAATTACACCTACTCATGTCACCATCACTGTCAATCCTAATGGAAGTATTTTCTAGTAAATTCCTTTCTAACCATTGCCGTCTTAGTTATCTAGTGCTGCTATAACAGAAATACCACAAGTGGATGGTTTTAACGAAGAGAAGTTTATTTCCTTACAGTAAAGTAGGCTAAAAGTCCAAATTCAGGGTGTCAGCTCCAGGGGAAGGCTCTCTTTGTCAGCCTTCTCATTGTTTCCCCGGACTGGGAGCTTCTGCTCTTCTCCTGGCACTGCTTTCTCGATGGTGTGAGGTCCTCCTCTTCTCTCTGTGTTTTATATCTCAAGAGATTGCCTCAGGACACAATCCAGTGTTGTAGATTGAGTCCTGTCTCACACAACTGCCGTCCCTCCTCCCTCATTAACATCATAGAGGCAGGATTTACAACATATAGGAAAATCACACAATACCAGGAATCATGGCCCAGCCAAACTGATACATTTTTGGGGGGACATAATTCAATCCATGACAATTGCCAAAGTGCCAAAACAGGGAAATGTGCTGAGTCTGTCTTCGTTCACAGCAGCCTTTTTTTACCCTAATAATTCTTTTCCTTTTTGTTTCATATTGTGAACCTCAACTTGAATTGTTGGGTCAGTCTCTCGGAACTTTGATGATGAAGAAAATCTATCCAGTGAACGTATAATGGTACAATTCATTAAGAATAAAACGTGGTCCTCCATGTTAGAATTCTCCAAATTGCATGGCAATAAAGATCAGAATAAGAACCAAAGGAGACGTTTGAGGTGAGTGTCATACATATAAAGGAAAACAGTGCTTCAGGAGAAAGTACTAAAGTGTCATGACATTATATACTTATATAGATATGTTTATGCAGTTCTTATTTATCGTCTGTCTTGCATTTATAACAATAGTATAAAATCTTCTATTTGACTACTTTGTGAATTAATGACATGTCTGGAAGTAACGAATGTGAGGTGCAAAGTGACAGTAATGCTGGTTGTGATGGTTAAGGTTGTTTGTCAGCTTGGCTGAGCCATGATTCTAATCGGTGGTTTTGTAATCATGTAATTTGGCAGTTATGATATAATTTGGCATTTTCAGAGCATCTCGCACATCAGGTATACTATGTTAAAATAAACGCTCACATTCCTGGTTACACCTAGGCTACCATAATTTTTGCATAACGTTTTTGCATAACGTCTTGTTCTTTGCAACCTAACCATATCTATAAGTAAGTAGTGGTTGTATATACAATGCTTGGTAAAGCAGAGAGCAAAAAAGAAGATCCTCAACAAGATGGATTAACACGGTGGCTGCAACAGTGGGCTCAAACAAAGTAATGAGGACGGTGCAGGACCAGGCTGTATTTTTTTGTACATGAGGGTTCCTGTGAGTCGGAAGCCACTCAACAGAATCTAACACCAACAATATATGTAAATTTAATGGTAATAGTATGTGTTCAGAGAATTTTTACAGTATATTTTCATAAATCTGGGTCAGATATCGAGTACTTGAAGCGTATTTCACTTGGACAGTTATCAGAAAACCTCATATTTTAGAAAAACAGTGGCAATAATGATAATATTTCTGCTAGATGATTTAACCTAGGAAACGTGATAAATCAGGGCAAAAACTATGCATGTTCATTGTGTTTGATAATGATGAAATGGGAACAAATCTAATTCCAACAGTATGTTGCCTATTTTTAACAGAAATCATACAACAGAGAACCACTGTGAAAGTAATGAAGGCAATCAATGTGGGAAAACCTTCAGCCGGATTCCAAATCTTAGTGTGCTAAAAAGAAATTCACTGGAAATAAATCCTTTTGAATGCTGTGAGTATGGGAAAACCTTCATGGATCACTTATCACCTACCCATCATGTCACATCTGACACTGAATGCAATACCTCTCAGCATAAGGAATGTGGAGAAGCCTGCAATTGTCCTTCTCACCTAACCACTCCTATGAGAACTCTCAATGGAAAGAAACCTCGTAAATGTAAGGTATCTGGGAAGGACTTCATTTGTATCTCAGCACTTAAGAATCCTGTGACAATACTCACTGGTGAGAAACGCTATGAATGTAACCAATGTGGGAAAGATTTCTGTAGTTTCTTATCCTTTTGGACACACGTGAGATGTCATAAGCATGAATGTAGAAAACGTAAAACCTGTAGTTGTACTTCATCCCTCACTTTACATAAAAAATTTCATAACAGAGGTAAGCCTTATAAATGTAAGGAATGTGGGAAAGGCTTTATTTGTTCATCACACCTCACTGAACATATAAGAACTCACAGTGGAGAAAGGCCTTATGAATGTGAGGAATGTGGGAAAGCCTTTAGGTGTTCTTCACATCTAACTAAACATATAAAAACTCACAGTGGAGAGAGGCCTTATGAATGTAAGGAATGCGGGAAAGCCTTTAGTCAGGCTTCACACCTCACTACACATATAAGAACCCACAGTGGAGAGAAGCCTTATAAATGTGAGGAATGTGGGAAAGCCTTTAGTCAAGCCTCATCCCTCATTACACATATAAGGACTCACAGTGGAGAGAAGCCTTATGAATGTAAGGAATGTGGCAAAGCCTTTAGTTGCTCTTCAGCCCTCACTACACATATAAGAACTCACACAGGAGAGAAGCCTTATGAATGTAAGCAATGTGGGAAAACCTTTAGTCGCGCCTCATTTCTCACTCAACATGTAAGAACTCACAGTGGAGTTAGGCCTTATGAATGTAAGCAATGTAGGAAAGCCTTTAGTCGAGCATCGTACCTCACTACACATATAAAAACTCACAATGGAGAGAGACCTTATGAATGTAAGGAATGTGGGAAAGGCTTTAGCTGTTCCTCAGCCCTCACTACACATATAAGAACTCATAGTGGAGAAAGGCCTTATGAATGTAAGGGGTGTGGGAAAGCCTTTAGTCAAGCTTCAGCCCTCACTAGACATATAAGAACTCACAGTGGAGAGAGGGCTTATGAATGTAAGGAATGTAGGAAAGCATTCAATCGGGCTTCATACCTCACTACACATGTAAGAACTCACAGCGGAGTTAGGCCTTATGAATGTAAGCAATGTGGGAAAACCTTTAGTCAGTCCTCACACCTGACTACACATACAAAAACTCACAGTGGAGAGAAACCTTACGAATGTAAGGAGTGTGGGAAGGCCTTCAGTCATTCCTCAGCCCTGACTTCACATATAAGAACTCACACAGGAGAGAGGCCCTATGAATGTAAGGAATGTGGAAAAGCTTTTAGTCAGGCCTCATCCCTCACTACACACATAAGGACTCACAGTGGAGAGAGGCCTTATGAATGTAAGGAATGTGGGAAAGCCTTTTGTGATTCCTCAAGCCTCACTACGCACGCAAGAACTCACAGTGGAGAGAGACCTTATGAATGTAAACAATGTGGGAAAGCTTTTAGTCAGGCCTCGCACCTCACTAGACATACAAGAACTCACAGTGGAGAGACTACTCAAAAGTGGGATGTTTCATTTTTACTGCTGTAATTTCAGATTTCCCAAAGTCTGGGATTAAAGAACAAAGTTACTCAGTGAGTACAAAAGAAATTTAACTCAAAGATGGGGTCATTAGAGCTACATTGTGGTTTTGAGAGAAGTGGCAGTTTCATTTTAAGTGCGGGACTCATCAGTGTTTCTTTCTCAGTCCATGCAGAATTTTACCGATCTTAAGTCTTGGGTTATTACAAATAAGGCTGCATGGAAACACCTTGAGCAAATGTTTTATATTTTTTTTGGTATTTTATTGATGTTATTTTGCATTCAATACACCTCCTCACCAACTGTCTTTTTTCTGATGTTTCACATTTACAATAGTAAAAACTCTATTGTCCAATTTTTTTGTATGTCAGTGACATACATGTGGCAGTAAAGAGCACCGAGGTGCAAGGTGAGAGTAACGCTGAAGGTGATTGGTAATGTTATGTGTAAAATTGGCTGGGTCATGATTGTCAGTGGTTTGGCATCTATGTAATGATGTAATTTGGGAGTTAAGTTCTGGAGACCTTAATTTTTGCATAAGGCTTATTTTCCTATAACTACTTGGTCTTTGGAACCTAACCATGTTGATAAGTGAGAAGTGGGTGTAGACTGAACTTGTATATTGTTTAAGAGTGTTATTGTTTTCATATTTATCACCTTTTTTTCCATTCTTTCCTCTTGTATAGTTAATTGTTTCACCATTTATAATTAATAAGTTTCTCATGGGTTGATAATTTGAGACTTTGTAAATAGTCTGTTTTTCATTATAGTTTGGTCTATTAATTTTAGTACCCATTGATGATTATTACCACTGATTATTATGATTGGATATTTACCAAATGATATTTTCTGTTCCAGTCATTTCTTCTATGTTTCTTAATGGGAATTCTGCAAAGAATAGCTCTTCCTTCTCTCCCCCTTCCATATTAAATTGCTTGTATCAATTTTATAAACACTATAATCAATATTACTTTTTTTTAATCTTGCCCAAATTGTCTCAGATTATTAGGAGCTTTCTTAAGTAGGTTCTTGCATTTTTTTGACATGTCCCCATTATAATTTGAACAATACATTCTGCCCTTGTCAAGGCTCATCTTACCGTTTTCCTGCCTGAGCCCTGGAATCAGACTTTTCTCCAAGAAACCCTAGTTTCTTTTTAAGAAACAAAAATTTGAGCATAAGGGATGGATTGCTACTTGGTCCTAACAATGAAAAGAAGTAGGAAGTATATGTATTAGAGTATATACACAGTCACATATTTATACCTATTCCTATTATTTATGTATTTCAAAAACCACAAGATCATACTGTATCTCAGATTCGAATCTAACACCACAGGGCTTATTTTAGCCTATTTCTTTACTTGATCTGTTACTTTTTTTTCTTGTAGTAATACTACTGGTTCTTTTAATCCACAATACATTATTTGCTGAATCTTAGAATATGCATAGTTTCAGAACTGCTGACTGTGAGGTGATGAACCACATTGCTGAAAGCGTTTTGGTCATTGTTCAAGGTTTCTTAAAGTTTCCTGATGCAGAAGCTGATGAATAAGGGTGGGTAAGATAGAGGGATTACCTGGTGGTCTCATGATAACCTAGTGAGGCTTCATTTAGCTTTTACACAGGACTGTCCCATAAAATGGCAGAAGTCAGAGGCTTGAGCTATCTGGTGAGAAATGTCCATCCATGTGGAGGGTAGCATATTCTGGGGACATGGCAGCTCTGCACTGGGACCTTCCCAGACCTTACCCCATGCATCTCTTTATTTGTATCCTTTTTTATATTTAATTTGTTATAAGGATGGTCTTCTTGTGAAATTTGTGAGTCCTTCCAATGATTTATTGAACAGAATGGAGGCTCAAAAGTAAGGGGGTTAGAGGGACCTCCCCAGACTTTTAGCCAGCAGATCAAAAGTTGTAAGTCATTCAGACTCCCAAACTTGCAGGTTTGTGAAATTGTCACCCTGCTGTGTATCAAATGATATCGAACCCATCTACCCCCTGTAATTTTGTAGCTGTATGTTTCCATATAGAATTCCAGGCTGGTTCTTTTCAAGTCTACACTGTCGTTTGTTACTGTTTCCAGTTTCTGCCTTTCATTCTCATGACTATGGAAGCATAGGTGTTTTACATCTATGCATCTATTTCTGTTGTCTGTGCTGGTTCATTCTTTGTGTGCCTGGTAATTTGTTCTGTAATAGACATTATATTAGATTTTGTTATTATTTTGAATAGTTTTTAACATACACTAAGTACAACAATCATTCATATGTTTGTTGTCAAGAATCAATAGCTGTTAACATGTTCAATGTTTTAAAGATGTGATTGAAGATATAATTTTCGTTTTTCTGAAGAGAATTTTTTTTTTGTTTTTTGGCCATGCCAGTTGTCTGGAGTTGCTGCCAAGCTCAGAAACTGTAAAACATTCAGAGCTTGAAATTTCCATTTGGATAACTCACAGCCAGACTGGGAAATCCTTGTTTTATATTCCTATGCCTCCCACTTTTAGGAAACCTGACCTCCAACTTCTGCCCCTGCATCTGAAGCCTTGTTTACATATTTTTCTAAGTGACTCAGCCTCGTATTGCTAAAGACATATTTGGAGATTAATTCAAGGAGAAATAGATATGACTCTTTTGATATAAAAGAGTGTGTCTAAAAAAATGGCAGTGGCACTGTGGCTCTTGGGTTGAGGCGGGCGATTTTTCAGGTGGCAGAGGAAGGATGTGTTAAGTGTTTCACGGTGGGTTGCTGTCCTGAGGCCGCTATGTTATCCTGGGTCCTATTCTTTGCTCTATCCTGCCACTGCCCATGCCTGCAATGTTACATTTACCCTGTGTCCCTCCCCAGGGGTGCACACTCCTGCCCTTTGCTTGTGAGGTCCCCTAGACCAGTCAGCAGCACTTTACTCTCGCTAGATTTCTCTGAGATTCCTGGGACTCAAATCTACGCTGCACTCCTGTGCTCTTTTCTCTCAGGTCTGCCTAGTCCCAGAACATGCTTTGTCCACCTTGTGACTCCTTCCAGGCCTGTCTCAGTCTGAGTCCTGTTTTGCTCCTGCCCTGGGCTTTTTGGTAATTATGAATAAAGTTGCTGCTATCTGTGGCAGTCTCAAAATTGCCACATTGAGCTGGGCAGTGAGTAGGGTGTGGACGGTCCACGAATCCCTACTTTGCTGCAGTCTCCAACTTTCTGCTAACTTGGTGCTCAGCCTGGTTTTCCAGTCCTTCACTTGGTATTCAGACTGCTCAGATTGCTCATTTGGCAGGTTTTAGTTGTTTTTTTGTCATTGTGGGAGATTATGAGGGTGCTACTGTCTGTGCTGCCATCTGGCCCCTCCTGTTCCTCAATTTCTGTTTTGAACCCTGCAGACATATTCTAGAAGGAACGGAAGGGTGAGAGGAAGAAAGACTGATTTTTGACAAAATGTTTTGATGGTACATGTTTTCTCTGGTGCAGTCCTTCAGTGGGTATATCTGGGGTAAACACATTCACATACTTAATCTGACATGACAGTTTTTGGGTTAGATACACAGGTAGGGTATTCATTCCTTCCTAATGAGAAAGTTTATTTTGGAAATAAAATCTTTTCTGGACAGTGGCTTAGAGCAGGGTTCAGCAAAGATGTTTGTAAAGGGCTACATAGTAAACATTTTAGGCTTTGCAGACCATATGTTTCTCTTTGCAGAGACTTAAGTCTGCTATTGTAGCTTGAAAGCAGCTGTAGACAATAAGTCCATGAATGATTGTGACCATGTTCCAGTACACGGTGTTTACAAAAGTAGCTGTTGGGCACATGAGGCCGGGGGCTGTATAGTTATTGACCCCTGTTGTAAACATTAGATTCAGATATAGGGAGCAGCAAATCACAGAGCACACTGTAAAATTAACAGAAAAAATCACATGCAGTTTCCTTTGTGCTAGTGGGACTCACCTAGTATAAGGTCCAGGATGATTATGTCACTAAGGCTCTGCCCTGTGTCCCTGGCCAATGCTGTTTTAACTGTCATACTCTCCATCATCCTGACCTTCCCCTATACCAGCCTACTCTGTTTAAAAAAAAAAAAAAAAAGACTGGCATTCCAGTCAACTCAGACTCATGTCAGGCATTGAGTTTGTTTATGGTGATGGAAAATTTGACAACAGATATTGGTGATGGTTGTACAGGGTGATTAATATAATGTTACTAAATCGTATGTGTGAAAAATGTTAACTTTAGAAATGTTGTATTATGTATTGTAAGAATGGCCCGGGGGCGGCATCTGACTTTCTTATTTTTACAAGGGGGAAGGAGAATCAAGATTAACAGCCCAAGGCTGATTCCTATGATGCAGAGGTCAGACATGCCTCCCCTCTCTGCAGTCTACCAATTCTGAAACCAACCATTCCTCCCACAGCACTCTCTACGCCTTTGCTGGCTTCGATAATTCATTGCAATAGCCACACAGAAGTCACAGACAATACTCACAATTATGGAGTTTATTAGGGAAGTAACAGGTTACAATTCAGGTTCAGGAACATTCAGGAGACAGTTCTTCCAGCAGAACAGCCTCTGGTTAGCTGTGCCTGCAGGCATGCCTATCTCTGGCCCCTCAGCCTCTGCCTTGCTCAGGCATGTGTCACAAAGCTCTTATCTCTGCTAGTAAATGCCGAGAGGCACACCACTCCACCAGTAAGCCTTAGCCTGAAGGTGCTCAGCTGTAGCTCGATGGGTGTCATGTATTGAATTGTCTCCCCCAAAAAATGTGTGTATCAGTTTGGCTGGGCCCTGATTCAAAGTATTGCGTGGTTATCCTCCATTTTGTGATTGTAGTTCCGCATTAAAGAGGATTAGGGTGGGATTGTAACACCACCCTTACCCAGGCCACATCCCTGATTCGGTGTAAAGAAAGTTTCCCTTGGGCGTGGCCTGCAACACCTTTTATCTCTCAAGAGATGAAAGAGAAGCAAGCAGAGAATTGGAGGACCTCATACCACCAAGAAAGAAGCACTGGGAGCACAGTGCATCCTTTAGGCCCAAGGTTCCTGCATAGAGAAGCTCCTAGTCCAGGGGAAGACTGATGATGACAAGGACCTTCCTCCAGAGCTGACAGAGAAAGTCTTCCCTTGGAGCTGATGCCCTGAATTTGGACTTGTAACCTACTAGACCGTGAGAGAGTAAACTTCTCATTGTTATATCTATCCACTAATATTTCTGTTAGAGCCGCACTAGATAACTAAGACAGTGGGTCAGCAAACCTAGCTTCACCAAGTGTTCGTAGGCACCCCCTTCCACCAGCAAGCTTCTGGCCTGAAGGCACTCAGCCGAGAAGCCCACTGCCATCTTCTGCCAGTCTCTCCTGCCACTGTTTCTCTGCCACTGCTTTTCACCATCTTCAGTGTTACAGCTTTCTCTGTCTCCTAGTTCCAGGAGCTTCTCAGCATAGTGATCCCAAGTCAAGAGGACGTGCTCCGCTCTTGGTTATTCTTCCTTACTCGTAGTGAGATACTTTTTTTTGTGCCTCTCAGATGGTTCCTTTTAAGCCTAGCAGGATGGCAAAACTGACCAATCTCTTAGTTGGGTTCCATATACCTTATTAGCATGGTCCCACAGAATAATTTGGTGGGAGTAACAAGACCATGGCAAAAAAGGCCACACAAAAGCGATGTATCACACCACGTGTATATGTTTACCAAAAACTTAATTTTAGGGTAGGGCAGAGAACTAAACTGCCGAATCTTCTTTTGTTTTTTTATATTTCATCTACTAGTCTTTTATATTTGGAAAAGGAAATACATACCTGTCATGGATTGAATTGTGACCCCCAAAACTATGCGTATGAATTTGGCTAGGCCATGATTCCCACCCAGTATTGTGTGATTGTCCACCATTTTGTCATCTGATGTGTTTTTTTATGTATTGTAAATCCTATCTATGATGTTGATGAGATGGGATTAGCAGCAGTTACATTTATAAGGCAGGACTCAGTGTACAAGACTGGATTGTGTCTTGAGCAAATCTTTTTTGAGATATAAAAGAGGAGTGAGCAGAGAGCCATGGGGGACATACCAACAAGAAAACAGCACCGGGAGCAGAGCATGTCCTGAGGTTCCTGTGCAGAGAAGCTCCTAGACCAAGGGAAGATTGATGACAAGGGCCTTCCTCCAAAACTGACAGAGAAAACCCCTGGAGCTGGCTCCCTGAATTTGGACCTATAGCCTCCTACACTGTGAGAGAATAAATTTCTTTGTTAAAACCATCCACTTGTGGTATTTCTGTTATAGTAGCACTAGATAACTAAGGCAATACTCACAATTAAAAATAAATATTCAAATAGTACAGGGTCTACAATGAAAAGTCTCTCATTCTTGATCTCAATAATCCTTTCCAGATAAATCCTTGTCATCACTGTCTATGCAGAGATACTCCA